GTCCAGTTTATCTATTTTTTCTTTTGTTGCTTGTGCTTTTGGTGTCATACCTAAGAAACGGTGGCCTGATCCAGGCTCCTGTCCCAGCACCATTTGTTGGAAAGACTGCTCTGTCCCCGTTGAGTGGGTTTGGCCCCTTATCCAAAGTTAGTTGATCATAAACAGGAGGGCAACGTCGAGTTTTGCCCCCTCCTCCCAGCTGAGGAGCTGTGGGCAGGTTGCTCACCATCGCAGCCATGTTCTCATCTACCAAGTGGGCACAGTCATGCTTCTCAGCTGGCCTCTCGTACCTCGTGAGGCCATAAAAGTGAGGTCACATCGAAGATGAATGTCCAGGTCCTCTGCCTCCTCAGCCATGGCCTCCCTGCCTGGACACTGCAGGTAGTGGGAACATCAGCGTCCCAGGTGGCCTTGAGGCCCGGGAAGCACAATCCCCTCAGAGGGGATTCTGAGGGCGTCAGGGTGGCTCTCTGCCCGCATGTCTCCTGCAACACCTATGGGGCCTGCTGGCTCCAGGCCCATCCTTCCGTGCCTGGTTCAAGCAGTTCTTATTTTAGAACAAACCCCCTGGGGTGGAATCTTCCCAGAGCCACAGGGAGGTAAACACAGGGGCCTCCAGGACCCATGCTCCAGCTCTTGTTTAAGAGGAAAACATGTTTGGCTCCCCTCCGCGTGGGCTTGGCGACTTTCATGTTTCCCCTTCCTGAGGAAGGTGGCTGGGAGCCCTTGAGGTGAGGAATGATGTTTGGGTCTGTGGCTGGCTGGTTTTGGGATTGCCAAACCGCCACCCGGCTGGGGAGCAGCTGTCAGGAGCAGCCGAGGAGGGGCGGCCCAGCCACAGGCCTCTGAGTCACCAGCACCAGCTCCAGCTCCGGGCCTCATGGGCATGGACCCCACGGGCCAAGCTGGGGCAGCAAGAGATGAGCCCCACTTCTGCAGGGGAGCAGGGCAGCCCTGGGCTGTACCCCGTGCGCCTCCGGTCCCTGAGACTCCAGGCCGAGGAGCAGCATGAGGGGGGTGGGCGGGGGCTCTGCAGTCATGCTGGGCAGCCCCTCGGTACGGGCTCGGGGGGCTGTGGGAGTGGCACCCGGCCCTCACATAGTGGATGTACGTTGGATGTTTAGTAATAGTGATCCTCTGAAATCCCTCACAGCAAGGACATTGTCCCCATTTTCGAGATGAGGTGTTTAGACCAAGGCCAGGGGCCCGTTTTTTTCTGTGCCATCATCCACCGGGCACCCCCCTGGGGCTCCCTTGCTCTCCCTCCTCCAGAGCTGACTCTACAGGGCTCCAGGTAGATGGGGGCAGGGCTCGGGCTGTGCTGAGGCTCACCAGGCAGCCTGGGCTTGGCCCTCCTGGCAGAGGCGGCAGCTCGGCCAGGCACCCCCAGCCTTGGTGGCCTCGCTGAGGCTGACCACCCCCCCACACCGCTGAGTCCACTTAGCCAGAGGGTGTGCAGATGGCCCTCAGCTGGAGTCGGAGACGTTTCTGAGGGACCCCAAGGTGGAGAAGTCAGAGGTCGTGGGTTCTGGGCCCCATGACGGGCTGAGGAGCCGTGTGTGGGACCATCAGGGGCAGTGGCCTTCAGTGAGTGGCATCTGGACTCCTGGGTAGACTCCTTTGGTTTCCTTTTTCGTGGACGCTGAGTGAGGTGGATGGCCCTCCCCCTCCCCACAGGTGCAGTGGGAACAGCTGGCCCTGCAACGCTGCCCTATGGACCCTTCCCCAGCATGCAGACCTGGAGTCGCTGTCGTGGTGTCCACTGGGCCGCAGCACCCCCACCGCCTTGTTGGGGGCCAGGCACAGACACCAGGCTCCAGCGTTCCAGCTGCCCGTGGGGCGTGAACAGCGCTTTCTGGGGCCTCTCTGGCTCCTGCTCTGTGAACTGTCTACTTCCTCCCATCTTCCAGTGAGAACCCCCTGCCCACAGTGGAGATTGCCATCCGGAACACAGGCGACGCTGACCAGTGGTGCCCGCTGCTGGAGACCCTCACAGACGCTGAGATGGAGAAGAAGATCCGCGACCAGGACAGGAACACAAGGTGACTCCCCAGCCCCATTTCCAGGCAGGACAGGGCCGTCGCCTTTCCCGAGACCCAGCAGGACCCTGGATGATGAGTCCTAGTCTAGTCCTGCAGGGGACAGGAGTAGCCCTTGGGTCGGTCTGACCACAGCATAGAGCAGGTTTCAGGGCCCCTGGGGAGGTGGGTGGGACAGAGGGCAGCATCAGGGCCCCAAGTAGCAGACAGGCCAAGGCTGAGGGAGGGGCTGGGGATCCCACCTACCACATCCTGTCTCTGCCCCTTCCCCTGGCTGCCCTAGAGATCCCTGGTGGAGGGGCAGCTGCCCAGGGTCACCGCCCTCTCCCCTCCTGCAGGCGGATGAGGCGTCTGGCCAACACTGCCCCGGCCTGGTAACCACCCAGTGGTGCTTGGCTCCCACGGAGCATCTGGAAGATTGGACCGTCTCCCCCCCATCTTCTGGCAAGGAGGGGGCAGCCCGGCCATCCTGAGGAGCATGGGGCAGGGGCCTCCTGGTCATCCACCCCAGGGCACACATTCCTTTTGCTGAGCTCCAGTCCCTACCACCCGTCTCTGGTCAGGAAGAAGCCTCACTTTGGGTTGTGTTTTGTTTTTGTATAGGAGCCCCAGGCAGGGCAAGCAACATTTTTTAAATAAAAGGCTACAGGTCCTGTTCCGTTTCTTCAAAGTGGTAGCATAAAAACAAGAATGGGGGAGAGCACATGTGGTCGAGGCTGCGGGCAGGACCTTCACCCTCCTCTGCCTCATGTCCCCAGCTGGGCCTTAGCAGGACCGTGGCTCTATTCTCAGCCCTGCAAGGCCCTGACTCAGAGCAGTTTTGATTCCCCTTGGCCCCGGCATCCCACCCACCTGTGCTCAGCAAGTCCTTGCAGTCCCAGAGGGATGAGAAGGTGGTGAGGCTCAGCAGGCAGGGCTGCTTGCCCTATCAGCCACAGCCCCGCCCCCAGCCAGGAGCATACTTCTCTGGTCCTTGGAGAGGCCCCATCTCGTGCGGTCGTTGAGGGCGTGTTGCCAGCCCACGTGCCCGTGCCCAGCTGTTCAGCTCCAGCAGGTGTGCACTGCTCTCGCCACACCTCCTAGCACCTCACACATAACAGGTGGACTGGGGCCCATCCCCACCCCCAGCTGATGCTGTGGCCAGGCCAGCCCCTCCCTCCCCGCAGGTTGTGAGGAGTAACAGGAGAAGAGTGTGGAGCAGTACACCCAGCCTGGCGCCAACTCGAAGTGATGCAGCTCTGCATCCTCTTCTGTAATGTGGAAGGGTCCCCACTCTGCCTGGGATGTGGGACCCAGGGGGATGGCACATGGGGGCCTCCTCACTGGGCCAGGCACCGCAGGGTGACCCAGGCACGGCTACAATCTAACTGAAGACCATGGACCCAGACCCCGCACCTTCAGTTGCTGGCAGGGCTGAGTGTCAGGACTGCTGTGCTCCCCAGAGCATGGCTGGGACCCCATAGCACCCGGTACCCAGCCCAAGCCCCATACTGGGCAGGGGCAGAGCTCTGAAGGTTCTCGCTGTGAGATGTGGGGTGAGATGGGCCTGGTGTCTGGGCTGGGGTGGGGGTGGTGGGAGGCCTCGTGAACACGTCCTAAGAATTTGTACTCCAGCCACTGCCCTTCATCCAGGAGTGGAACTTGCTGGACCCCAAGCAAGGAGACAGCTAGGCTTCACTGGAAGGCCCTCAACAAAGAGGAAGGCTCCAGGCCCAGCTGGCTTTGGAGACAAGTGGGCTCCACTGCTGAGGTGTGTGTTCAGGCCAATAGGAGGTGGCCCAAGCCCCCAGCTGGTGGGTGGGACACACCCTGCCTGCCTCAGCCCACTGGCCAGGCTGGCCACCTGCCTGGGAGAGGCCCAGGGAGGGGCCTTCACATGCCACCTGCCCACTGCTGAGCCCACTGCTGCTCCAAAGGTTTCACTACAATGTCAAGGTCCAATTCCATGGCGAATACTTCTGTCATCTGTGAACGTGACAGCCGGTGGCTGGAGGAGCCCTCGTGCTGGTGACGATCCAGGAATAAACCATGTGGACTGGTCATCTGATGCAAGTGAGCTGTGGGCCAGAGGAGGCTTCTGCGTCCTTAGTTGAAAATGGCAGGGGCAGAGCTTCCCAGAGGTCTCTGCCTCAGCCGTTGGACTCTGCTAAGGTGACACTTAAGGCTTTGGGGTCACAGAAAGGGCCTGCCCCCTTTCTGCATCTGGCCCCATGGATACTTAGCCAGTCCTTTAGGTGCTTAGCTGGAAAATGAGGCAAAGCTCCCTTGTGGGTTGCTGGTGAGGGACAGGAGGGGCCTAGGGAGGCATCAGCCTGAGGGCCCCTCGGGCAGCAGCCACCACAGAATGGGCTCAGCATGACCGGCTAGCCCAGTCCTGGCCCCACCACCAAGATCTGACACCCCTCACTGAAGGCTGAATTGAGGCACAGTCAGGGTGGGGATGAGAGCTCAAAGTTCTGCTGGGCAACTGTGGGTAGGTTCTGGACCCTCTCTGGGCCTCCCATCCTACCACCTGCTCTTGGTCTGAGAGAGCAGGTCAGGCTTGGTGGCCCTTGGTCAAGGCCAGCAGCACCTACCCTGCATGGAAAGGTGTGGCCGGCCGAGGCAGGAGGGCCAGTGCTGTGTGTGAAGAGGATGCAGGTCATTGTTTATTCGGGTGGGCCCTGGTCATGGCCCAGCCTCTAGGACACGTAGCTGTGCTACAAGCCAGGGTTGCGGGGGGAATGCAGTCCTGCCGGAGGCCGGGAAGATGGGCCCCTGGGGCTGGCCCTGGCCTTGGGTGGGGTCAGTGCTGCAGGGGTCCTGGCTGCTCCTCGGGGAGGGGCAGGTAATTGGGGTCCTCCGGGGCATCCAGTAACAGCTTCCTGTGGGGAGGGGCCCATGCTGAGCTTCAGCCAACGGGTTCCCGCATGGGGTAGGGAACCATCTGGGGGGGAGTAGGGAGGGCTGTCATGTCAGCACTCACAGGAAGCCCGGGGTCAGCAGCAGCCTCTTGCCACCAGGCTGGCTGGGGAAGACATCCTCCAGGAAGTAGTAGATGTGGCCCACAACAATCCCTGCGGGAGAGCCACCAACTGCTTAAGCCGCCCTCCGCAGCCCGGAAGGCCCCGGAGCACGGGTGACCCATGTCCTACACAGACTGCCAGCCCAGGGTGGGGCCAGGATTGGCCCAGAAGAGGGCAGGTCCTGGGAGGGGGTCAGGCCTGAGAACATGGGAGGAATGGGAGGCATGAAGCAGGAACCCTGACCCACCCGTCCCCACCTGGGTCAGAACCTACACAAGCATCAGCAAGCAGCTGAGGCCTGAAGAAGTAAAACCGATAGGCCGACTTGTTTGAGGGGCTGGAAGAACAGGGTAGCCGTGAGGGCAGGAAGAGGCAGTGGGGGCAGATGAGAGGTCCAGTGCAGGTGGACGGGGGGCTCTGGCCAAGCAGACCCTCAGGCCCCTGACAGCCTGCTTGGGGAAGGCTGGATGGACAGCAGGCTCACCCAGGAGGTCCACGAGGATTGAGTTGCCCAGCAGCATGGAGAAGCCCATGAGCGCCCAGGGCAGGAATGGCGCCTGGAAGGTGAGGAGGCCAAAGAAGTTGACCCTCACGCGGGGGCTGCGGCGGCTCCATACGTATACCAGCATGGCTGTGAGGGCCTGGCCCAGGAAGAAGAGGCTGCCCAGCAGCCCCAGCAGCTGGGCCAGAGTCAAGGCCTCACGCCCTGCCCGGGGCCCCTCTGCTTCCTAAACCCCTGGAGCCCTCCTACTGGCTGGTTTCCCTTCCCAATCTAAGGCCACATTGTGGCCTCCAGGGGCCACCTGATCTGCACTGCCTCTCCACCTCACCCCAGGCTCCACCACTGGTCATCCCGGCCCCAGTTCCTCCTGGATACCGGCATTCAGGGCTCAGAGCCCCGGGTGCCCCACTGTGTGGCATTTTGGGTACAGCACTGGACCTAGCCCTGGCACCTGGAGCTGAGCACGCGATGCACGCTCAATACAGCCTAAACTGGAGGAAGCGACTCTGTCCCTCTCCAGCCGGCGCTCAAGCCGGGCCCAGAGGTTCCAGAGCCCGGGAAGGATACGATCATAAGGACACCCCCGAAGAGAAACATGAAGACGAAGTCGGCCGTGCGGCCGCGGAAGGAACCCTCCTCCAGCAGACGGCAGTAGCGAAACCTGCGGCGTCCGTATAGGAAGTGCCTCCCAGCGAAGCTCAGTTTCCCCGCTCCCGCTGCCCCACCCCCACCCCCGCCTCTCGGGCCCGCGGAGGATACACGAAGAGCATGTTGAAGAAGAAGCTGAATCCCAGGGGCCCGAAGAAGAGGAAGTTGGTGACGAGCCTCCAGACCTGTATGGGGGCGGGCGGTCAGGCGCGGGGCGGGCGGGGCTGGGCCAGCAGGTGCAAGGGGCGGGGCGGTCTCACCTGGAACTTCCGGAACACGAGGTGCGGATTGAAGTAGAGCTGGAAAGGGCTGAGGAGCTCCAGCTGCTGCGGAACCAGGGGGCGTCAGGAGCTGCCCCCCGGCGGGGGTTGGGGGTGGTCCAACCGTAACCATGGCAACCCCCGGGGCTGTAACCATGGCGAAACCCACCCGCCCGCCCGGCTCACCACGGCGGCGGTGGTGAGGACGCAGGCTGCGGTGTAGGTCCGCGTCACCGCCGGCACCTGCAGGAACTCGGTCGCCATCCCCTGCCACGCCATTGAACCTTCTCAGGAACGTGTGGCCAGACCGCCGAGCGCTCTTAACCTGCCTCCAAACCCCGCCTTCCTGTCTTCGGCCAATCCTCATCCGAAGTGCAGCGCTCCCGGGCTAGAGGGAGGGGTGTTGGGACAGGTAACCAATAGGAGGAGGAAGCAGGAAGCCTGGGTCAGGATGGGTGCGTGGGCGGGTCTGGGCTCGCGGCCAATGAGCAAGCCCCACGGTTGAGCACGTGGCGCTTGTTGTGGTGACTGCGGCTGCGGCGCGGGAGAATATGTGGCCAATGAGGAACTGGGCGCTTCGCGGCAAACTAGGGGAGGACCAATAGCGAGGACCCACGAGCCACCCTGGGGGCGAGGCTAGGAGTGCTTGCTCGAGGCGGCCCCGGGAGACTGAAGGGGCGGGGCCACGCGGGGCGGAACCCGGAGTTCGGCCGCACTGATATGTCGATCCACCTGGCTTGGCCGGCGACCCGTGCCGTCCTTCTAACCTCGGGAACAGGAGCAGCGAAGGAGGCGCTCGGCTGCGAGTCCAAATCCCCCCGCACGTCCAGGCCCTGCTGAAACTGCCGGCTCCTTGGGAAGCCTCACGAGGGCCGCCGGAGGAGGGGCCAGGCTGGGGACTTGCAGACCCGGTGACGCGAGGCAGGCTGGAGCAAGTGGACGGGCTGGAGAGGACCTTGTTATTTTGGTGGAAAAGGGAAACTCCATTTATTCATTCTAATGAACAAAGTCAATCATTTATTGAGCACCGACTATGTGCCAGGCACTGTTCTGGACGCTGAAGACACAAAGGCCAACAAAAGATGCTATCCCTCCTGCCCTCCTGGTGTAGCCAAGGAGACAGGCCGTCATGGTCTTGTGCTAAGATGAGAGATTGTGTTTGCAGGACAGCGCGCAAACGGAAATCACAGCCAAGTGGAGACTGGAGGGTTGGGTAGTGCGCCCCATGCCAGGTGGAGTGATCTGGGAATCCTCTGTGAAGAGGTGATGTTTGATTGTCACTGCTGTGAGCACAGTAGACTGCCAGGGGAATTGGTGAGCAAGGGATGATGCAAGGGACGTTGGTGGCTTGGGCAGGGTGGAGCCTGGAAGGCCAGGAGGGGCGGGATGTGGGTTTGCCAGCAGAGTAGACAGAGCTGTGAGAGAGGAGTCAAGGGTGACTTTGAGGCCTGAGCTGCAGGGTGGATGGAAGGCGGTGGCCTTTACTGAGCTGGAGAATGCTTGGGAGAAAGGCAGGCAGATGGAGAGTCCTGTTCTGGCCTCACTGAGTTTGGGGCATCTGTATGACATCCGTGTGGAAAAACCCAAGTGTGGTGTTGGGGGAGATGTCAGGCAGGCTGTCCAAGTGTGGGTAGCAGCCTTCAGGAGACCAATGACATTTGTAGCCTTGGGCCTGCGTGAGATGCCCAAGGGGCGAGGCCAGGCCTGGGCAGCTCGACCTTCGTTAGTTAGAGAGAGAAGGCAGACAGCCAGGGAAGCAGGGAGACCAGGGAGGCTGCAGCAGAACCAGGAAAAGGCTGCAGGGACAAGGTAGTGAGAAGCCCTGGGAGTCGTGGCCTGGGAAGCCACGCCAAGGTCCCTGGATAATGGCGGCCATGAGGGAGAGGAAGGTGCCCGGACCTTTACCAAATGGGAGCTCAACTTTGGACTCGAGTGTGGCAGGTGAGGGAAGCCCTGGGCTGGACCCTGACTCCCCCAGGGAGACTGGACTGGGGAGAACCAGCCGAGATACCTTGTTATTTTGGTGGAAAAGAGAAAGTCCATTTCAATTGGATCCTAGGAGGGCTAAGAGGGGTCCCCTGGGGAGTGGCCCCTGGAGGCCCACTTGGGAGGGGCGGGGAGGGAGAGGCTGGGAGCACGAAGGGGGTGTGCATTGGGTTCAGGAGTGAGGAGAGGTCAGTCTGATACAGCAGGAGTTGGACCAAGGGCTGAGAGGCTGGTGGGAGCAAGCTGATAAGGCCCCCTCAGACAGCCTCCATTTTCCAGCAAAGCAGATCTAGGTCACGTTCGAGGTGACGCCGTTGGAGCAGATCCCACCCAGGTGGGATCCCACCCAGGTGGAGGTGCGGCTGCAGGGCTGGGATCCAGGGCCTCAGACATCAGGGCGGGCGCCTGCCAGGCTTGTAGGAGCCAGCGAGGGTGTCGGGTTTCCTGTCTGCACAGGGAAGGGGAGG